CCCTTTGAATATAATCAGTGTGGTAAAGCCTTTATATGTCATAGTCATCTCCAAATACATAAAAGAACACATACTGGAGAGAAACCCTTTGAATGTAATCAGTGTGGTAAAGCCTTTGCATGCCATAGTTATCTTCAAAAACATAAAGGAACACACACTGGAGAGAAACTCTGTGAATGTAATGAGTTGTAAAGCATTTGCGCATCACAATAATCTTCAAATGCATAAAAGAGCACATACTGGAGAGAAACCCTATGAATGTAATCAGTGTGGTAAAGCATTTGTATGTCACAGTCATCTTCAAATGCATAAAAGAGTACATACTGGAGAGAAACCCTATGAATGTAATCAATGTGGTAAAGCCTTTATATGTCATCACCCTCTCAAAAGAGCACACACTGGAGAGAAACCCTATGAATGTAATCAGTGTGGTAAAGCTTTTGCATGTATTCATAGTCTTCATAATCACAAGAAAAAAATGTACTGCAGTGGAACCCTAAAAATATAGTCAGTGTTGTAAAGTTTTAGAATTTACACAAGAGTAAAACTTTTTTGTGCAATCAATGTCTTAAAGCCTTTGCATATCACGTTTTTCTTTGAGTACCTTTGAAAATTACCGAGGGCTTCTTACTATAAAGTATTTGGTATGTTCTTTATCTAACACACTTACAATCTGTTACACAATAACATTTACTCTGAAGAAAAAATTGACAGTGTCAACAATCTGTTCAATCATTATGATATCGGTTTTATATTGTTTGCTTGAGGAAACTCATGGAAAAAGTGAACTTATGAATTTATGAAGCCATATGTGTAGGGTAAAAGGGCCAGCCAAATAAACACACCCCAAAACTGGAGGCAATGAAACACACTTTGGCAGTGTATCCAGAGCTAGTGAAGAAAACAGCCTGGCCCTGAAAACAGAGCCAAAGTTTAAGAAGGGCCAAGTGAAAGAAAGACACTTTTTACCTTGAAACCAGAAGCAAAGAAACACACTCTAGCTTTGACCAACTAAGCACAAAACCCAACTATGCCTGTGCATGAAATCCAACCAATCTCTGAGCTTGGTGAAGATCAGGAATTGAAATGTAACCAATTCCCATCCAAAAAATCTTCTCCCTGGGAAACTTTGCCCCTAAGAAGCAGGATATAAGCCCTGTACCTTTTCAGTTGGCTGCTACCCTTTTCCACCCTGACAGAGGTAGAACCTCTCTTGGGTTCCTCCCTCCTAAATCAATATCTTGAATAAGTTTTGGGTGAAGACCTTTTGCCAGAGCAGATCTAAAACTCCCCAGTGGATTGTAGCTGAGAAGCTATGGAAACATCTACTGGGAATCTCCCTTAGGGGAGTGGAGCAGAGCCGTATCAGACATCTCTGCTGGGAAACGCTCAGTATAGGGGAGTGGAGCCCAGTTGTAATGGCTCTTTCTCAGAGAGGAGCAGGATTGCTACATCCTGCAGGGAGACCATCCTTCACTGGAACACAGCTTTAGGTATAGCCTGACTTTCTGACAGTCAGGATTCCTTTCTCCTCACAGCAGTAGGTCTACAGGATACCTTCCCTTCACAGTTGTAGCTATAGCCTTACTTCTGAGTCAGTGTACATTTATCTCCAGAGCTATAATACTTCCACTTTCATATTATGAATTCAAACAATAATGTTACCTCTTTTAGATTCTATCCTTCTCTTAAATTCCATGGAATAAATAATTCATGTGAAAAACTTTACAGATTTGTATTAGTTCCTTTTCTGTTGTTGTGATATAATGTGTAGGTCAACTTATAAATGAGTTTAATTTGGCTCAAGAGTGATACAGTATTACCATAAAAGTGGCATTGCAACAAGTGTCAGACATGGCAGCTGGAGCAGGAAGCTAAAACTCACACTTTTAACCTGCAGCATGAAGCAGAGTGGGAATTGGAAATGGTGTGTGGATGTAAATTCTCAAAACCTATACCCAATGACATTTCATCCAGCAGGGCTGTAGCTCCTAAATATTCCTAAATGATATCACCAACTTAGAAGAAATGATTTCTCAAACTTCCTGCCTACATGCTAGCTTTCTGTTACATGATCCAATTCATTATAAAGAAAAAAAAATCTACAAGCCTTTAGATGCCTCAACACCTGTTACAGGAATGAATGTTGCAAGAGAAAAACCTTGAAAACTGTTTAAAAAGTTGTTTTAATTGTAATTATGTGGTTTCAGTATGTGTTTGTGTGGGTGTGTGTGATTGTGCATGCTGGTTCCTGAGAACATTAGACCCTTGGATCTTATAGCAGGAATTACAGGAAGTTGTCAAAAATCGGACCTTGGTCCTGGGAATGAACATTTCTATTCTTTTCTTTTCATTTTTCTCTTTTCTTTTCTTCCTTCCTTCCTTCTTTCCTTCCTTCCTTCCTTCCTTCCTTCCTTCCTTCCTTCCTTCCTTCCTT